GAGAGAGAGAGAGAGGTTGGTGACTTTGGGACTTGACGACATTTGGATCCAGACTCCACATTGGGATTGAGACATTGAACGAGGGATTATTTGGGACCTGTACCAAAGACTTGGTGTTGACGACATTCCCATCTTCCCCTCTTCTTCATCTAACCCCCCTCCTCTTCGTCTGTGTATGGTCGGGGACTGGCGCATTCTTCCTGCGTGAGCGCCAGGCCCCTTCACACCATGGAATGATGATGATGTATGTTTGGTCTGCATTGCAAGATTGATTATTCGGATCATTGGTATATAAGCCTTCCGCTGCGCTATCTTGTACTATGTGACAGAGGTCGGTTCTTGTTCTGGTCTGTTCCATTACGGTATGCGACAGCAGACCTTTGAGGTGGGGCCTGATCCCATCTGCTGAGTCCAACAGAATGACAGTTGAGATCCTACATCTGCCTTAACCTACTACCTTCCCTCGAACACAACACACCCTGATTTTGAATGTTTACAAGTTTTATCTTTCAGGTCCACCGTGATGAGAGTGCAGTATGTTCGGGGGAAGATGGTAGCACTGTGGTACCAAGATACGATAGCACCCCCCTCCCCGACAAAAAAAAAGATGCAAGGCCCCCCCACCACTGGCCCAAGGACCAGCTTAATAATAGTACTAGACTCACTGAGGAATGCAAAAATCAATGTCATCAAACAAAAGTGAAGGAGAGCAAACAAAACCAACCCAGACACGAAGAAACGAACCAAACCAAATAGAACTAAATGGACCAACTACTGAACCAGATAGAACCGGACCCAGCAAGTCGAACTCAAGTGAACCAAATGGAACCAGATTTTCAAACTGTACCGAACTAAACTATACCAACCCAAAGCAAACCTGCCTAAAGTGAACAGAGCCAAGCCAAATCCAATTCGTCTAAACCATACCAGCTGGAGCAGACCTGAATGGAATGGACCCAAACCAAACTGAACCGAACAGAAGAGGACCAGAGTGGATCAGACCAAACCAAACCAGACCGAAACCGAACCAAACCGATCAGAAACTGAACCAGAGCAGAGCAGATGTCGCATGCCAATATGGTGCAGACCAGAACCAAGAACCGCCCTCTTGCAGATGTAGTAAGGATAGCACAGCGGAAGACTGAAATACCAATAATCAGACCCAATGAATGTCATGACACAGACTGGACATCATCATCATCACTCAGTGTGAGGGGAGGCCTGGCACTATCACACAGAGAAGAGGCGCCAGGCTCCAATCATAATGGGTGAGGAGGAGGGAGGAGAGACGAAGGGGGAGAAAGAAGAGATGTCATCAACACAAATGTCNACAGAGAAGAGGCGCCAGGCTCCAATCATAATGGGTGAGGAGGAGGGAGGAGAGACGAAGGGGGAGAAAGAAGAGATGTCATCAACACAAATGTCATCGACACTGATCCCAAAATAGTCTCCCACAATGCCGCTGCTCATATGTCAAATCTGAATCTCTATGTCACCAAATCTCTCTCTCTCTCTCTCTCTCTCTCTCTCTCTCTCTCTCTCTCTCTCTCTCTCTCTCTCTCTCTCTCTCTCACTCATAGTCTGCTGATGCAGTGAAGTCAGATAGCGAGAGGGTGAGAAGGAGATGGTGGACTGAGAAGAGGAAGAAGAAGAACTCTCTCTCTCTCACGAGCCAGGTACTAACCTGTGAAGTTGGCGCTGTGATGCAGGTACCTCGAAGACGAAGCTGCAGCAACGGCGCTGCAGGTAAGT